CATGATTTGGGCCATTGTTACCATTAGCCTGAATATTTATTCCATCATTAACACGTGGGGTGTTCTGTCCATTATTTAGGACATTGTCTCTTACATTTAGGTTATCCCCCAAGTTAGATGTACCATTACCACTATTTCGATTTGACATTACACCATCCCCCTGATTTGAAGTAGACGGACCAAAAGGTGGTTATATCCCTTGATTTGGACTTAGGACTAGGGAATTATGTCCTACAATTGTCCTAACTTGAAAGTGACTTGCAATAGGCACAACTGACTGACAAATTTGGCCTACTAACTTATTCATTATTTCATTTAATGTATTCAGTTGTTTGGCCATGTTGTCATAATGTGCATTCCCATTCTGGGTAAATCTTTCCATATTATGAACATTTCGTAGATTTACCTGTTCAAAAATATCCAGCGTGAGTTCTCCAAGTAATGCATGTATGATTCGAGGACTCAACTCTGTCATTAGTTCGTAACGACTGTTACTACTCTGACTCTATTTCTCTGTTCGTAGAGAGCTTTGCTGCTCCTCATATCGCTCGATCACAGACTGGACTCCTTCCTGACTTGTTGCTTCCTTATCAGATTTGTGAGGCATGTTGTTTCACTTTTTGTATCCTCAACACCAAACACCAACGTCCCACTGGGCGTGCCAAATTGTTTCGCGCGGGTAGTTGCTAACAATTAAAAAAGGGATCAGACGATTGTGTAAGAAACGGACCTCTTGAGACAGTCCCCAAAAGGGGTGTTTTATTGGCGATGATTTACAATTGGAAATAAACAAAATGCCTCCAAGGGGCACAAGCACACGAGTATGAAAAGAAGTGTTTAAATTTAAACTAAGAAATTAAAATTACATATTCTCTGTTTGAGAGTGTTTGATTCGGGATCCTCTATTCTATGTCTTCTCTTCCTTTTTATATTCCCTTGATGACTTCCTCGCGACAAACTGCTTGAAAACTGTTTGATTGTTTTATAACTACCCACTTTCTTTATGGTGGCTAACTTGTCCTGGAACTGCCGTCTCTAACTGCTGTCATTACTCTTTGTCGTTCAATCACCTTCAACTGGGCTCCTTGAATTGTGGAATGTGATAAGATTACTCAATAACTGCTTTAATAACTACTATTCTGGACAACTATAATATTTTATATTTGCTAAGATATTGGGTGATTCGAAGGTTTGGGCGAGAACGGGGTCATCGCTTTGGGCGACCGTAAGGCACTCCATTCGCTCAGATTCTGGGCGTCTTGCAAGCTTGGGCGATGATGTCATTATGTTCGTGGGCTTTCACTGCATTTATCAATAATTCTTGTTTGGACCTTTATCATGGACTCCCCAATTGGGTTTCATTCTTTGGGCTATTTGATTTAGGCTGCACTTTTAGTGTGTCAACACTAATATAGATAAGGTTCCGGAGGTAATGATTGTGGTTGTAGCTATTCAAAATTAGCCCCACAGGCATGGCAAGCATTGGTTGCTACATGTCAAAGTTTCAAATTACATTTCGTATTTTTTTAAGGTTTGTTAAGCTGTTGGTTTGTCTTGTTTTTATCATGGAACATGGGCAAGCTCATATCTAACATAATATTTGTGTCTAACTTGTTAACTTCAAGAAATTGGAAATATAGTCCTATTGATAAGGATATTATACACAATTCTGTAGATGTAAATGATCGCGACTTGCGAGTAATTAACTAATTATGTATATTTTATTTTCAATCGATTTTCGTATATTAAATTCAATACACATTAGTATAATAAATCAAGTTGAAAAATAGTCATGCATAAATTCGTGAAAGGTCAAAGTTTAAAGGGTCAATCGAAGACT